TGTAATTGTAAAAAAAGCTCATAAAAACTACAAAACACAAAATGTGAAACCGCAAGTTTGCATGTATCTCCGCATGGACCCATCAAACCTTCGTGCCAAATTTGGTGAAGATCCATTAACAGGGGGTGAAGTAATGGTAATAAACGCCCATGAAAACGCAAAACTGTAAATTTTTATGTATCTCACAATTGACCCAATGAACCTTCATATCAAATTTATTAAAGATCCATCAACAGGGAGCGAAGTAATGGTAAACAACGCAAAAACGCCCATAAAAATCGCAAAACTGAAAAAGTGTATGTACCCCCGCATGGACCTAATTAATCTCCATACTAATTTTGGTACAGATCCACCAACACCCTGCGACGTAGTTACATGGACATACAACAGACGTATTATATTTATTTAGATACATTAATTTCTATATATTTGTTAATGGAAATACTGTACCGCCCTCTTTGGACTTAAGTGTTAAATAGACTTCGAAAAGTAAAGCTATTTCATTGAAACATTACTTCAGTATTTCTTAACGTTATGCATGTCGAGTGTTCGTTTTAGCTCATAGCTACACAGTGAACTGTCTGCGATGTGTTCGCAGAGGGGATCGAACCTCAAATTTCAGCTTTAATATTGCGATTTTGTTTTTAAATAGTCATACAATATGTGTTTGTATTTTAGCCCATCTTGGATGAGAGCTTCGTAGGTTGCTTGACCTAGCTACTACAGTAACGTACTTACGTGCACTAACTAAAATGAGTTTCGCCTAGTAATATTTATTCTTTCTCCTGGGGCGATCGTGCCTCGCGCTAAGTTTCGGTTGTTCTACATGCTGTATTGTTCAACAGAAGTCCATCGTCAGTCACCACGTGCATGGGCGGAAACAGGTGAGCTACTCTAGTCCCGCGCGCTCAGTGGTGACATTGAATCATAAATAATAGCAAATTACCAATTACCTTTCTCACGGCACAAGTATAAGATGTAGACCTAACCGGCTTACTCTGGCAAATTATCATGTATTTAATTAAACGCGGCATTTTAATTATCCCCACTTTATATTTGCATAGCTGTGTTGAGGGGGACAGATCGCTATTCCGAAAATTTTCCGCCTCTTGTGCTGGAGTTTGCTTTATTCTTTTTATTGTTATTCAACTTTTTCATCCCGTTTCTATAAAATCATTATAATTATGACAAATATTTTTACAAGGATTTAGAAAGCTTACTTTACGGTAACAATAACATAGATCTCTGGAATGATCACAAATATACCTCAAAATGTTATCGGCTTATGTCCCCAATATAACATTGTACACATGTAATATATCAACCTGAATGAACATTAGGCCCATTTGTGTAGTTGCTTCTACGTTTATGTAATAATACCAACCTGAATGAACATTAGGCCTACTTGTGTAGTTGATTCTACGTTTATGTAATATATCAACCTGAGTGAACATCAGGCCTACTTGTGTAGTTGCTTCTACGTTATGTAATATATCAACCTGAATGAACATTAGGCCTACTCGTGTAGTTGCTTCTACGTTTATGTAATATATCAACCTGAATGAGCATTAGGCCTACTCATGTAGTTGCTTCTACATAAAAATTTCGGAAGATTGTTCCTACGGAATATCGGGCTGTAACCAAGATGAGAACATAAAAGAGCACACGCGGTTAAATTAAAATTTAAAATGCTTAGTTTTTACGTGAAATACAGAAATTAAAAAGTTGTTGGAATTAAAATAATGTATATTATTATGGTAATAATGAATTTTATTGAAAGAAATCGTTTTTTTTTGGGGGGGGGACTGTAATTTTAACGGAAACGGATATTTCACAACTCGAAATGAGACAAAGCTTCGCTTGCGTAACGTGATCCTAGAACCAGGAAATGATGACTTGGAAACAAAGACTTTTCGTGAGAAATAAATGACGAACAACTGCCAAGGATATAATTGAGAAACAAAAGTTATTTACCAATAACTGTTTCCTTCATCTTCTGGTGTATACTGTTTTTTTGTTTTTTTCGAAACACACTCTTCAAAAATTGTTTTAGTATAGTGTTAAGCCTTTTTCTTTTTTCCAATATTTATCAGAACGAAGCCGTATGTTATAACTGTTGAGTAACAATGTGGGAAATAAGAAATTCATGCATTATATTTCACAGGGTAGTACGAGCTGTTTCGAAAAATAAACACCATTTGTACAAGGAAGTAGTACCTGTGAACTTTGCTATGACAGCAAGCCACACACGCACAAAACTTCAGATCGTAAGCAGATAAATGTATTAAAAGAAGCAAAATCTGGATTGTGACCACGAGATATTTTGCAATTTTCTGTATTAGAAGAAAATAGACCAAATTTTATCACTGGTAGTTTAAGTTTGTAACCCTAAAACTGAAATTAAACTGGTGATTTTTAATTATAAAATTGTGTTTGTTTTTGAATTTCGCGCAAAGGTACACGAGGGCTATCTGCGCTAGCCGTCTCTAATTTAGCAGTGTAAGACTAGAGAGAACGCAGCTAGTCATCACTATCCACCGCCAACTCTTGGGCTACTCTTTATTTTAATCCAAAGAAGTGGGCGTGAAATTAATCAAAGGAAACGGAGATGAATAAATGCCGATGAAGATATGAAAAATAAACTTTATAAAATACCACAGAAGGCTTACTTGTAGCTGTTTATACCATAATCTTTAAAGTTTAATGAAGATCTGCTTGTTGTATAATACCTAAAATTTAATAAGCAAATACATATCCCATAATCCCTCAAATATACTCAATGCTTACAAAACTTTTGAGACGGCTTGACTGGGTAATGAAAAAACTTTTATTTATAAATGCGTGACGTTTCGACAAG